TTCTGGTTCAAAGCCGGCCGATACTGCAATATCAAGCCTATGTATCCTAATGTTGCTCAATTTCCAACGTTAAAGCCACCTTGGATTTGTCTGGTGCATGGGGCCCCCGCTCCAATGTGTCGCCACCTCATGGGATAGTCTGCCCCGTCGTTCTCCTTTTGTCCGATGTGCCTCTTCCCGCACGGCCAAACATTTGTGCTTTATCCTCTCATTAACCCAGGACCCTGGCTAGGATCTCTACAGCTGTAGGACGCACTACATCAACCCTTGGCTATCCAGAGCAGCTGCTGCTCCAGCATCTCTCTCCCCGTTCGCTACTATGCTAGCAAGTGTTGTAGAGCCTGCAACCACTCCCTCTAGCCAGCTCTATCTAGATCCCCCCACTCATCAACTACAGAGGTCTGTAATTGAGTGCCTCCTTTCGAATTGAGCGCCCGTCTTGGTTTACAGGATTTCTACTGAGTCTTGACTCCATTTGGGGACCAGACTACATTCGAGGCACTCTGGTTTTGCGGATGCAGCCAAATGCGAACTGGTAAGTGGAAAGAGCAAGAGATCACCAGAGGCGTAAGCCAGAACGCTAGATAGGTCTGTTCTGATTGCGACTAGTAACTCAAATAGATATCAACTGAAGCAGGCCTAGACTGAAGGTCTGTTCGTTGCCAGACACTAGCGAATAACTCGGGGGTACACTGTTCCAATTTCTACGGTACCACGTGCACATCCGGCCGCTACATGTATGCAACATTTTTTTTCTTTCGGTAATTCAGTACTCGTATTCAAGCTTATCTAGTGCATGACGAATGAACGCATCTATATCGTGGCTACAATACAATATTGTGTCAATCCTGAGGCTGTTCTCTGCCTCAATGCATGCACTTTGCTAGTATATTGTAAGTAACTCCTGTTTAGTTGCAACTCAGCTTTTATCTCCTGGCCTATGGCTGTTGTCTGCATACCCATCGAATCTGCATCAGCTGAGTGGTCGGCTACTTTTGCCGTGCTTCTCTGACACCACCTTGCAGCATTAAGGTTGTCTGCTTGCACCATGTCTCGGTCCCAGGATTCTAATAGCTGTGAACCTGTCAATTTGTATAATACGATAATTATGTGACGGAGATTAAACTGGGCTGAGTTGACATGGCCATGGATCATAGATCGAGATACCTACCACACCCTCAGAGCGAACGTGAGAGCAGTAAACAAGCACTTCTCGGGAGGTAAGTATCACATACTGATTAAATCCCCAGCCATGGGCCCATAGTAATTTGTCTAATTGGTTGCTGTAACAGTCGTTATCATGTTATAATCAATTTGGGTGCCTCATGCCGACCTTAGATATATCACAGGCGTAAGGATAAATTTAATGTGTGTACTGTACATACAGCTGTAAGTGGGTAGCAATTTACGGTATGGGCCTTGCATTATGCTCATAGATACAGTTCCGTATCACCTTGTTCGCACACTACCGTTTAACACCAAAAATAGTCAATCTTTTTGAACATTCTCAAATTTCAATCATACAATGAATTCACAAGAAAGGTGCAAAAAATATCTCCATGAAGACTAGTTTTCTGACATATTGTTGTCTCAAACTCAAAGACTGAATTTCGCGTATTGTAGATTGAGTGGGTATTCTGTGCTGTAGACTTTGGAGATTATATAAAATAGTTCAGAAAGATGTAAGTGATTCTGATAGCTTTTGTGATCTGTGATGACCTAACTAGTGAGCACAGCAAATAAAATTTCTCGAAGGGCACTTTTGGGTATTTTGCTGTGGTTTGCATTATTGGAACAAGGTTGGCCTTAGTCTTGGCCCTTTGGATTTTATACCAAATGTGCCACTTTTCGGTGGAGTCAAATGCGACAACACTATAATTTCTGCTGATATCCGGTAAGCTCTTGTACAATATTGGGGGGCTTGGATACATAGTGTGCAAAGTTGGATGGGAAAGGTACTTGGCAACTACTATTTAAACTTCTGGATTTTTCATAGAGGTAGTTTTCCATTTATAGTTTGTTTAAAGAGCATGATCGTGGGAACTGGGTTTTAGAGCGCTGGGTGAACTTAGTTCATGGTAAAAACATCAAAGGGCCAACAACAATAACGCGGGATAGTCATATAGCCTCAAGTTCAATTGAAACGTATGGGAAGTAAGAATGTATGGAAATTGTGAACTACGCTATAAGCTCTACTTGAGTACTCCGTACCAGAGCAGCTATACCTCACACCAAACCTTCCTTGCATATGCAATTCCTATGCACCACATGCAGCTTGGCATTATTCAGCTCCAAAACGGGTTGCAACGGCCTAGTCTGGTTGGCGGTAGAGAATGCGGCCAAATGCGGCCAGGCAGTGATGAGTTTTATGCCCTGAATAATGTTGAAAATCTACGGGCAACGAGTGAGCGTATGCAGCGAATGCAGCGGAAGAATGAATAGATGGATTCTTATATATCTAAAATAGACAGGACTTTCGAGCGGTTTAAATAGCTACCGGAGCGAGTGATTTCTCCTGTCAGAAGCAATAGCGATAATAACAGTAAGAACGTGCAAAAAACATATGAACTTCAACAAAGCATATGAAAAAGCATATTATTTCAACAAATAAATGTGTCTTGCACAGTATGCCAAGCCTGCTGCATTAGTGATGCATACGCGAAGTTGCCCCGCATAGCGAAGTAGCCTTGGCATACTTTAGCAGACGCTGCATACGGCAACATAGGGACAATTCAGACGTTCTGCAAAAGCGAGCTACATGGCTGGTATAAACTAGAACCCGTTTTGGAGCCAAGCTGCATGCGGTTGCATATGTATTGCATATGCAAGATTCCCCAAACCGGAAGGAGGAAAAGACTTTTGGTGTGAGCCTCCGTACATAGGCCCTTACTCACTTCGGTAAGTTGGGCTTATGGGGACGTGAATTAAACCTTAAGGACTGTTAACTACACAAACCCTTGCTGGTAAGATGTACCGGATTTTACACTGGAAAGCTCCCGATTTTTTCTGGTGCGGCTACCCTCGTGGAGACAAAGTGTTATACTATTTGGGACACCAGTGGAATCGAGAGAAGGGTCTGTAGGTGGGGTTTATGATATATAACTCCTAATAAATTTATATTGATATACGTATCAAACTGAATATTAAATTTCTTACCAATACTTTCAACTCTTGCCTCATAAAGTAATGTGCAATGCCTGGAGCAGCCGGTTAGTATGGCTTGCGATTCACCTGGTCTTGGTCACGGACGTTTCACCTACCAGTACAGTTACCCTGAGCTTTGCGGCACTGTTCAGATATCCGGGTTCATTAATATTGCGTGGCTGTATTGAAGACAGGATTAGTGGCCTTGCTACACACAGGGAGAAATTCCAAAAACGATATAGAGAGTACATACTTCCTACTATATCCTTCCTATGGGGCTTCTAACTCTTTGCTGCCTTTCCAGAAAACACAAACACCCTGGAAAACACGCCCGAAAAGCACTGGAAAATGTACCAAATTCAATACGGTGCAGTGATAAATGATTCAACGGAAGTGTACCACCATATTTGACTTTATAGGATAAAAAAAGAAGGATTTTGTACTGTGGTTTTAGGTGTTGAGGGGTCACTGCGTGGGGTTATTCTGCAGAAGTTTTTCCCCACGCGCTACACATGCTAGGCTGTTATAGGGCTCCGTGACCAACCTTACCACGAGCTAGAATGCCTTGTTATATGACTTCTCATTACCCCGAAGTTATTTGTTTTGGTCAATTCAGGGTAATCCCAAATCTCGAAGGGATTTTCCAAACCCCCCCCCGGCTTGGCGTTCCAGAGTCAATGGCTGGTTGAAGGATCTGATAAGTTGTATTCGGTAACATGACTTAGTGATAAGGTTGCCTTATCTGTAGTCTGGCTTGCCTAAGAAGTCTGGTGGGAATAGTCTCCCTTATCTTCATGAAGCTAGTGAAGGTAGGTTGTCGTTCTGAGTGGCATACGATTCTTAGAATATTTCTGGGCCCCTCATTAGCCCTAGACTGTGCCCATTGCCCGCTAAACCCTCTTCCTCCCGTGCCTACCAGACTGCCTTTCCCTGTACAACCCCATCTCACTTAGTCTGGTTCGCCCTACCCCTCCTGGGTGGCAGGTACAAGGCTGGCCAAACTGGATGATATGACGTATTGTAGTCTCGGAGCCTATGTTCTATACCACGCGACTGACAAAATAATGTAGAATGTATTAATATTCCCCATAGCATTGCCCCTTGGCGGACAGGATACTTTTCCGGTTTATTTCCGCCGTTCCTTGGACTAAGTCCTATGGATCTCAAGTTCCTAGCATCATAGAGCAAAGATCCTGAGTAAGGCACCCTCCGTAGAAAAACTCAAATCTGTATTGGATTTATGAGTCTATGGCGCAGGGCTTTAAAAATGTGTTACCATAGACTAGACTACTCAACTACTCTGAGGTCGGCCCTAGAGATAACGAGAGCCCACCGGTACCATAAAAACCCAACCAAACTAGTCTATTGCACCCCATGGCGAAGTCTGCATTAGGAGGCGCCCAGTGCGTCAAATTTCATCAAGCCCGAGATTATAATAAAGAGTCTGGTGTACATTTTGGTGCTCTGGTGTTCTGTATGATAAATTGCACCGGGGTCTCATGCGAACAACCCTGACTCCTCAATGTTCAAAGCAGTGTCAACAGCCATGCCAGTGAGAGCTAAGCTAGGAATTATTCTATATGGAGTATATATTATCACTAGGGTAGAAACAAGAAATAAAAGGTAACAGCAATGAAGTATCCTATGAAAAGAGCATGTAGCAATTAGCTACAGTGTGAAAAGAGGAACTAAGTTCAAGTATCATACCTCAACACGATAATATACACCAAACCCGTACCATTGTACCTCAATATCACATCAGAATATGTATAATTTAACCTCGCTTTGTGATCTAGGCTCATGATGATGCTGGGATGGGACCCATATAATACGTTAGGATAATGTACCCTGCAGTGGGGGCTGTGGCCTAATGGTAAGGCGTTGGTTTTCGGTAAATTCAGAAATCCACAAAAGATTGCAGGTTTGAGTCCTGTCAGCCTCGAGTTTGGCACTGCTTTTTGTTCGATTGGAGTAGGGGAAGTGCAACCAGACTAGTCGTACCAGTCCGGCTTGGAATGGATAGCCTCATACCCAGATTTGTGATGCTAACTAGGACTGAGACTAACGCTTAAGTACTAATGAGTCATGACATTTGCGGTTGGGTCAGAGCAAGCCGGACTAGGGTCGGAGAGGGGCACGAGAACGGTTAATTAACTGTTGTTTTCCCTGGTCAGGGAACCCTGTCAGAACGAGTTACCCTGAATGCCAGGTAATGGGCTGCGGGGTAGGTCAAACCCTTGCGGATGCCCACGCCAAGCGATATACCCTGGGGCCTTGGAGTTTTGTACCACAAGGCAATAGATCACAATGTCACGATGTCACCATGTCACCTCGCTTTCTCAAGTGTATGGAAATTGATTGTAATCTGATCAGTTCTTAGGCTTACCTAGCCTGGTGAAATCAGCTCCTTATCCTCTGAGTGCTGAACGAAATCGCTGCCTCATCCGCTGAGTCCTGGAAGTGCTCCTACCCATGCCTGGCAAAATTGGCTCCTCATCCAAGAGTCCACGTACCTATTCTATACCTGGCGAAATGGCTACCGCGTCCACTAAATCACCAGGAGGTTATTAGTGGGGAAATCGGTTCCACATCTCAAAGTACTCTGAGAGGAGTTAGCTAGAGCTGGGGTGACCTTATAGGAATGACCTACTATGAGTTGTTGGATAAGGCCAGGAACCATCTGACGCAGGGCAAATTGTGGTAAAATGCAAGGTGTGTCGAAACGTGAACTGCACAGGATCTTCAGGAAGTATCTGACATAGGGTTGTCGGACGAGAATCCCTTCAGAGGAGAATCTTGCCAACCAGACTTTGAAGCGACGGAGCACACAAGGATTTCGGCAAGCGGATTTTGCTGATGCCTCAGTACAGCGTTTAAATTCACTCCACTACTTTCGGGGTTTTTACGGGGTATTGGATATCTATCTGCAGTATCTTCCCGAAGGGTACTCCAAATTCAAAGAATGAGGGAATGAATCTAGGACAGGAAATGGGTTACTTATCTATGTAGCCCTCGTGGTGGCGGTATACAACTAAGGATGCAGGGGCTATGTCAGATATCGAGCTATACATTAAATCCCAACCGGCGACAGGATTTGGATAGCTCTCCAAATACAAGAAGCCCTATCTATTGGTCAATATGCCAGGGCTCAATTCTTTGCAACTCGCCGACAAGGAATTGAGTCATTGAGAGGGCAATTTTGACATTTACAAAATGCATTAACACTACTAATCTAATTCGTAAGTGGCATATATAGGACTTTTGAGATTTGAGTTGAAATTTTGATGCAAGCTAGTCAGTATTTGCTGCATAGGTATTTATGTCTGCTTGTATATACACTGTTTTTTTTTTTTTCTTTTTTACTTTTCACCGTTTACATTCGTGAATAACAGTTAGTCTAATGTTTGAGGATCAAATGTGTTCAATACACAAAGTATAGAGTTTGGTCCTTGGAAGCACGAGACTAAGAGGTCCGAGGCAAAACCAACACAAAACAGGTCAAGGGGGATCATTTCATTTCTAGAATGCATAGAAATTTGATTTGTAAAACCCATGATAATGGAATCTTAGCTAGTGAGGTGCGAACCCAGTCCACCCTCTAAGACACAGAAATTTAATGCTAACGGTACTTTTAAAATGAAAATGGCAAACCCCTAAGATGAAAACCAGAAAAAAAAACAAGAGGCCGGTGCCTATGGAAACACACTCCGAACTAGGGCATCTCGTGAGTATCATGAGTATCAGCGATACTCATCACTCCCACAGGCACTTTTCATCTTCTCTTGTTCTCTATCATAGTCCCCTTGTCAAGATCTATAACGTAGTCAAACGCGCTGTCTGGCAACTTAGGCGTACGAGGGGGGATTTCTGTTACTGCATAGCATGGAAGTTAGTGACACTTGTTTCAAAGAGAATAATGGAAGATACTCACGTGGAGGTGGGGAATGCATTCTTTGTCGGCGACAGTGGCCATGATAATCATGCCGCTGGCCTGGAGGTGCTGCGTAGACACCCGGGGGGTTGCGACTCTCCCGGCGCTGGCTTGGCTCCTGGGAGGGCATTTGTGGGAGATGGCTGGATCGGGTCGCGCTATAGGCGCCAAAGCTGCGGGGCTCTGGGCGACGTTCATGGCTCAGAGGAGCGGTCGACTGACTAGCATTCGAACTTTTATCCAACCATTCCCTCACACTAGCGTCGAGCCGTTGTCGACCAGTGTATTCTTCAGAATTCTCATTCGAGAGTCGAGACTGCTCGTGAAGGTTCGGCAAGGCACTTCCATACGACCCTCTACCCTGTGGTGTGTGCCTCTCATGGTTCTCGGGCGTGCCATGGGAAAATGATTGACTTCTTTGGTGAGGCCCAGAGCTCGCCCCGGGCGCTACACGCATTCCGTGTTCCTGTCTGCGAGTACTAGAGTAATGGTTACTGGCGTGCCCCTCGTGCGGCGTGCCCCGGCAAGTTGATTGGCTTCTTTGGTGAAGCCCAGAACTCGCCCCAGGCTCTATGCGCATTCCCTGTTCCTGTCTGAGAGCACTAGAGTGATGGGTACTGGCGTGCCTCTCGAGCGGCGTGCCCCAGGAAGTTGATTGACTTCTTTGGTGATGCCCAGAGCTTGCCCTGGGTTCTACACGCATTCCCTGTTCCTGTCTGAGAGCACTAGAGTGATGGATACTGGCGTGGTGGCTACCAAACTGCCTGTGGCTGCTCTCCGGCGGTTGGGCATGGTATCCGCCCGAGCCTCGACGGTCTGTATTATAACCATCATAGTACTCAGGCGGCTGGGCATGATATCCGCCCGAGCCTCGACGGTCTGTATTATAACCATCATAGTACTCGGGCTGTTGGGCATGGTATCCGCCCGATCCTCGACGGTCTGCATCATAACTAGCGTAGAAATCATGTGGTGGGGTATAGTATCCGCCCGAGCTTCGACGGTCTGCATCATTACTATCGTAATGCTTAGGTGGTGGGGCGTGATATTCGTGGGAGCTTGGATGTCTTCCATTATGGTGGGTTTCTATGTCACGGCCGCGTTGCCTTTCGCGGTGACCGTTGTAGGAGCTCGGATCATTGGGGCTACTGGGGTAAGCCTGCGGCCATTAGGTTAACATGGGCTTCTAAGTAGGTATGGCTTAGGATGGGCTACTTACCATTTTGATATATGGCTGTGTTCGCGAAGAGTTTTGTTGACAATTTCATACAAAGGTAATTTGGTGTAAAGAGGATTAGATGGGGAAGAGAAGAATTAACTACCAGTGGACGGGGTATTTATATATATTATGAACCACATAGATCCGGGGACACCGTCCCCCACGTGCCTTATCATAATCCGGCATCAGTGGAATCACATGCCAGAGAAACATGGAGTCTGCGCTACGCCCATGGGTGTGTGCTGGGGCACTTGAGGACTGCCGGCATGGTTGACTCTTAAAAGAGTCAGATGGAAGGGGAATCTGTAATTGTAGCAGTAGGTAGGTACTCACGGAGCACGGATTTCATCTGGGCGAGGGCCATTGAACCCAGCTCGCTGCCAATTACAGAGTCTGAAAATCCATTCCATCGGGGGGCCGGTGGAAACACTATGGGATAGGAATTCAAAGCAACTGCTGGGGATTTGGAACCCCTTGGGGGCGTACGTCCTTTCCATGCGTACGACTTTATGATGTCCGTACTAAATTTGGGTACTGGACTGGGTGGGTGCTTAGATAGTTAGTTTCGTGGTACTGTAGCTGTGGGATATTGGCCTTTTTTTCTTTCATTTTTTTTTGCGCCTCTACTCACTGAGATCATGGTGAGGGAAGAATTTGTGTGAGGTTGTGCGCACACTTCAAGAGAGACCGAGATTTGCGTCTTTGAGAGCAGGATAACAGGCAAAATATAATCGCATCTCAATGACTGAGGTTGCAAGCAGTGTTACACGCATAACCCACGTGGTATAACGTGAGCGGAGGATCTGCCAATAATGCACGTCGGCTGCGATTGACATATCCACCAACCAGGGACACTATCCAGGGGCCGATCAGCAGGCTTGCTGCGCAGAGATGCTCATCGCAGATCTTGGTCGACCCAGTGCATGGATGTATGCATGTATAGGATCAATTGGTCCAATTGGCTATGGCTATGTACCTCCACCATGATGGTTTCGGGACCTCCTCACCCCAGCCCCCCAACGAGTACAATGCACTGAGAACCTGAAAAAAATCCAGTGAAAAACAGGGCAACTGGTTTTTTCCCCGTGCGACTGCCTATGCCCGTGGCTGCTCCCAGGAAGTTACAATTGAGATCCCTTGTTGCTTCACATTTCTGCTTGCCAATTTGGGCTAATCTGGTCGGTACCTCCCATGGCAATACCTCAATTTCTGGGAACAAGGGCGGCTCAATTGGCGATCCGGATGTACCCTAGGTAGGTATAAGTAGGCCAACACAATCCGCTTCTTCTCACTGCCACAATAGCTGCGGCAGGTGTCACTATTGGCATGACCTGATGGGCCTCAGCGACGATTGCCATATGCGCAATGCTTAAAGGCATAGATCTGTCAAATGTAATAAAATTTCAAATAGGAGCACCAGCACAAAAGCTTGCTTAGAAAAAAATCCTGCCACGGAAGCCGGGTACACGTCCCATCAAACCCTCTATCAATCATATCATTCAAGCACAAAACAGTTACCTAGCAATTCCCCTCCAAGCAAACCACATCCATTACCTATCCCAGCGAATCATACCAGAAAGAAAGAAAGAAAGAAAGAAAGAGAGGGCAAAGCGATACATATCACGGTCATTCAGAGGTTTCTTCTCTCAAGGTCCCGTTCTGCTTGATCTTCCATATGCCGGACTTGAGTACTTTTGCACCTGATATTCCTCTGAATCATTGGGGAATTCTTTAGCGTCTGCAAAAAGTCAGTATCTTATCGAAGCCCACAAGGATATATTGGCGGAAGGGA